AAAATCATGTAGGTGTCCAAAAATTATGAAACAAATTTTATTAGGTTCTTAAAATTGTGATATATCTATTGGTGTATTTAGTTCATATTTATATGTGTTGACACTAGAAGCTATTAAATCGTTTGAAAGTGCTACATATTATTAAGTTAATTGTTGTAGGAATTTTTGTTGTGAATTGGTGATAGCTTTAGTCCTAAAATATTTATGGTAGCTTCATTGTATTATTATGTGCTCACTGTAATTTTTATGGTCTTAGAATAGACTAAGCATTGGGATAGTTAAATGTTCTTTGTTTCAAAATACATTAAATCTTTAGTAGAAATAAAGATATACCCTTAATTTGCAAAGCTAAGTGTTTGTTAGTGAACTCAACATTTTGCTTGGTGAAGATAATAGTTAGCTTGGTATCTTACTCATTAGAGCTAGCTTAGTAGCTTGATAGGTTTATTCTTATTTTAAGAGTTGTTGTTGCCTAAATACTAAATAGCTCCATTACTATAATCGCATACATATAGAGAACGAGTCGGTGGAGATTGTGACCACCGGCAAGCACGAATTCGAGGAGATCATCGAGGAGTACGAGGAGGAGATTTTCATGTAGGAGGAGGCCTAGAGCCGTCAATGACTGACTCAGCTGACACCGCGCCTACCCAAGGCATGCCCCGGTGCATAACCTCTATTTTATAATTCACCATATATATATGTGAAAACCACATGCATAGATATACTTGTCCAAAGAGTCTTACTAGTGCAGGTTCGAGTAGCTGCTATGCTTAGGTTTTCAGTAGCGTGAGTAACTTGCCGTTACTCACAATAGGTAACTATTATAATTATTCTCATGATAAAATGATGAAAGGAAAAATGAAAACCGGGCAGGGATATAGTACGGGTATTGGTGGGTGTAACAGGTTGTGTCCCGCGACCAACGGGGCTTAGCTTGGTTACACTGTTTTCCTTGTCCGTGTTAATTGAGGACCGTCCGTTGTTGTGGATGGTAGTCAGGCCACAGACTTATTTTCTTGAGCACATACTTGCTTATGAGAGCGGGAAGGCTCATTGCACTCTTGTCGTGGGTTTCGGCTCTTTTTGGACCGATTGATTAGAGGTGGGGAAACGTGAAGGTCTAAGCACCATACCAAGACCGGGTCTCAAGTGTGGGGGCTTGGAGTCCAAGTTTGGACGGGGACTAGGACCCCTCGACAGGAGTGGAGTGGGTTGATCTTGTTTGTGCCTAGGGTACAAGTGGTGCATGTGTTTCAGGGTACCCAGCTAGGATACATTGGTTCGTGAATCACCATTTCTGTGATATGGTACGACTTGGCTATGGTCTCGCACCGTAGTAAAAACTAGAAGAGGAAAGATGATGAAATGATTCTGATTGCTTACCACATGCTTGAAAGTAGCATAGGTGTTTACCTAGAATGGTTAGCTAATGAAGTAATCATGACTGCCAATAAAACTTGACTTAAGGACTTACTATTAGTAATGCTTTTTGCAAACAAAAAGAAAACAACAAACCATACTGCCTATCATATCCTTGAGAGTTGGGAAGATATTCTCACTAGTCGGGTAAGTCTTGCGAGTACACTGTGTACTCAGGGTTTATTTTACCCTGTTGCAGGTGCAGCTTGAGGAGTTAGCTCTTGTGTGGAGGATTCTTTTGGTGGGCACAGATGGATCCATGTATCGTTTCTGCTAGATGATTATTACATTCCGCTGTTTCATTATCGCACTCTGAACTCTAGTATTGTAACAAATAATTTTCAAGACTCTATTGTAAGAAATAGATTAAGTGATGTAAGTTCGTACTCATTATTGGATTCTAGCGGTAAAATGTGGATTGTTTTGAGTTCTCCCTTGGGGTGGGCTCAACGGAACTGTTCGGTTTAGCCACTTCTGGGGTGCGTAGTGTTAGTGGCTTGCCTCCGAAAGTGTGTTATTTTCGGACGATTCTGCCACAATAAACTACTCCCACGGTTCCGTTATTAGTACTAAGCCAAACTTCTCTGGTTCTAATCAAGTTTAGGGCGGTCACAATGTAGAAATTACTCAATAGTTTCTATGGCACAAGACTCTACAACTAGAAACTATCCTCCACAATGCAGTATTTCTTGGAGGAACCCAGCTAAAAATTAAGCCAATCATTTTACCGGTTGTTTCACTCTCTCCTTCGATCCTTGTGGCTGGCTTGGTTGTGTGGCATCGTCGTCACCATAGAGTTTGCCACCATGGAGTACGACCTTGTCCAACTCTGTCCCCTCCGCCTCCACCCGTCCAGCGGGCACCATCACCATCGTCTCCACCACTACCACGCCCTTGCCCGGAGACCTCACAAGCTCCCAGCAGTAGCCGCGCGAGCAAGGCCTAGGTTAACGCGAGGTCCACGCGAGCAAGTGCGATGGTGCCCACGCATCTCCCACCGATGGCCGTGTGAGCGAGGTCTATGGCAGGTGCGCGAACGAGATCCGTGACGGCTGAGCGAGATCCCCAACATCGTCGAGATGCCGTAGCACGTGGACCGTAGCCTTGCCGGGAAGATCTCCGCCATCGTGCGGTTGTACCTCGTGGCGGCGGCCGCCTCAACGTGGTTCCCTAGCGTCATGCTCTGTCACTGGTACAGCAAGGAGGTCACGGAGAGTGCACATGAGGGACATGCCGCACACGAGAACGCCGTGAAGAGCTCTGCTGCGGGCGCGGCGAGCCGGAGCGACCTCCGCGGACGATGGTGAGTCGGCACTAACTCCAGGGCCACGGCGAGCCTGGAGGCGGCATGCAAGCGGGCGGTGGTGTCGGGCGGCCGCACTGGAGGTCTACAGGTGCTGGGGGGAGGATTTTGCCTCACCGAATCTAGAGACGCCGGGAAGAAACGATCCTACCCTCCCATCGCGGTCCCGGACTAGTTTCTTCGGTCTCGATTCTTTCGTAGACGTCGTTTCTACATAAGACGTCGTTTCTTCATTTTTTCCTTTCTCTCCTCAATAAATGATCTGCCACATCAGCAAATTATCTACGTGACAGTATAATTAATGACTATAGAAACCATCATAGTTTCTACGTTGAGAGTGCCCTTATAAAGAAATAGAGAAAAGAGTCTAAGGGCAGTCCCAATGGTATAATTATGATAGTTTCTATCTCTACTAATTAGCATGCCAACTAAGCAATTTGCTGACGTGGCAGTGAATTTATTATGGAAAGAGAAGAGAAAAGGGAGAAACCGTTTCCTAGAGAGGAAACTGAGTCCTCGCGCGTTTCGATGGCCTGCGAAACAGGTGAATCCTCGTTGGGAAGACTCGAGTCGTTTCTTCTTTCTCACCCTCGGATCCCTGGCATCGCTGCTGCCCCTCCCTCGCGCTGCTGTAGTTCGTCGGAGGTCACTCACCTCGCACGCGTGGCATGGACGTGATTGAGACGTAGCAACATGGATTCCTACATGGATGCTTGCCACAACCGATTGTTTTTAGTTTTTAATACATGCATGGTTTCATTAAATGTTATTCTACATAGAAACTGCTACAAGAAACTATACATTGGGAGGATTAGGTCTATATGACAATTTATTGCTTGTAGAAACTACCTCTAGAAACTATGCATTGGGACTGCCCTAAGATACTCCCCCTCAAGTTTGGTCAATGTCTGAATAACCCTCTAAATTAACGTTTGGTTTGATTCTCTCCCTTCAACTATTTTAGTCGATCTAATTTAGCCATTAACAAGATTTTTTCCCCAAATATGAATTGAGTTTTCATTTCAAAATTTAAGAGATAGTAGAGGACATCTTAAACCTTTCATTACGAATTTTCATCATTATGTTTCATACAATTTTGCATATTTAGTTTAATTTTACTATTAGATGTCCTAACTATCAGAAAAATGATGAAAATTCATGATATATTTTCTTAACATAATCATGATGTTCGCTATAACTTCACATGACTTGAAATTAAAGCTCGACTTTGGACGTGTAAAAAACAAAATATGAATGTTATTAAGGGACTAACTAAAATAGTTGGAGAGAGTAAATCAAACCAAATATTAGTTTAGGGAGTTATCTAGAGATAAGCCAAACTCAAATATACCAACAAAATCAAATAAATACACTATTAAGACATACTCCATCCACCCGAAAATAGATCAATTTCTAGAGTTTTCCTTCTTCAAACTTTTGCAAGTTTAACTAAATTTATAGGAAAAAACACTAATATTTATATGATAAAAAATAGTATCATTAGATACACTAGTGTGTTTATTTGGTGTGTTCTATAAAATTTGTCAAACTTAAAAAAGTTTAACTTGCTCCAGAAGTTGATTTATTTGGGAACAGAGAGAGTATTTCATGGTGTTTGAAGTTTGATGTTTTTTAGAAAAGTTCGACTAAAAAGCAAAACTAAAAAAGAACGGGCGGCTCGCCTAGGCTTGTGCCCGGACAAAAACAGAGGACACTGGAATCCACACCACACACACACACACACAAAAAGAAAGAAAAAAAGAAAGAAAGAAACTCTGGGCAGCAAAATGCTCAGATGATGGCTGGTATAAAAAGGAGTCCAAGCAGCAATAGAACAAGGCATTGGACGCATTGTTATTGAATCGGATGCCCTGAAGGTTAAGCACGCTTTGCAAGGAGATGATCATTGCCTATCTCTGTTGGGTGGCCTAATTACGAATCTGAAAGCCTTTTTGGTGGAAGAATTCATAGAGTCCTCGATAACTTTTGTTCCAAGAGAATGTGATAGGGTAGCACATGAGCTAGACGAGTTTGGCAAGTCCCTTTTGCTAGAAACAAACTTTGTCATGTTTGGTGCTCCCAGTCGCCATGCTCAGAACAGAACAGAGCTACAACAAACTCAGGGCAAAGTTGGGTTATGCTGCAACGACTCACCAATGCTCTGGTAGTGGTACCCAAAAAAATAAGTCACTCGAACATCTGCAGTAAGATAATCAGCTAACATTGTTCTTATTTCTACCATGAACAGCAGGAGTGCTAAGATTACAATTTCGGATCACCAGTAGTCATTGCAAGAACATGATCCCATCTTGAAATGGTGGAACCTATTCAGATCCCTGACCACGAACTCCCTCTCAATAATGCCGCTGATGAGCTTGAACACCTCATGGCAATCACTGCACATCCTCAGGTTCTTCATCACCCTGATGGTCATCCCCTTTGGGACAACTAACAAACCGAACGCTAGAGCCAGAATCTCACTGTGCACTCCAACCATCACACCTTTCCCTTCCTCCTCCTCATCTTCATGCGCATCAGATACTCTAGCACTCCCTAATCTCCCTCTGTAACCTCTCTCCCTCATCTTACTCTCCAATTCATCTAGCAACATCAGAACTTCATCTGCCCACGCACCAGCGCATGATATCGCACCAGCGTAGAACACATAGGGGGTATCCTTTACTTCAATCCAGCTGCACCCGGGATCCTTCCGTATGCCACGCAGCCTCATGCTCGATCTCACAGCAGCAGCGTTATCGATCTGACCGGCCGAAACATATGCATTTGACATCATTACCAGGCCACCTGCTACATCCTGCTGGTTATTGAACACCCTCTGGCCAGCCATGGTTGCTAGGTCTAGGCGCTTATGTGTCCGGCAAGCTGACAGCAAGGAATTCCACAGCAAGAGGGCGTCGTTGCCTTCAACCTGAGCCTCCTTGGCCAGCTCAAATGCCTCCTCGAGCCGCCCTGCCCGGCCGAGCATGTCAACCGCAGATGTGTAGTGGCTGGGGCATGGAGCAACGCCGTATTTGCTCTGCATGGAGCGCAGGAGCTGAAGGCCGGTGTCAACAAGACCAGAATGGCTGCAAGCATGCATGACACCAAGCAGAGTGACATCATTTGGCCGCACACCTTGATCTACCATCTCGTTGAACAAAGTAAGCACGCATCTCCAGCGGCCGTACTTTGCTGCAGCGACGATGATGGAGGTGTAAGTGACGACGGACGGCTGCTCGATCCTGTCAAACACCTTCCTTGAATACTCGTAGCACCCGCACTTGGAGTACATGTCAACCAGAGCCACTGAAATCACGTCATTATTTCCGTACCCAAGTCGAAGGACAGCGCCATGGACGCACCTGCCGATGCCCAGACGCGCCATGCCTGCGCAGGCGCTCACGACGGTCGCCAGCATGAAGTGGTTGGGCGCCACGCCGCCGCCATGCGTCCTGAGCTCCGCGAAGAGCCTGATTGCCTCGTCCCCGAGCGTGTTCTGCGCGTACGCGGCCAGCATGGCGCCCCACGACACGGCATTCCTCGCCGGCGCGGCCATGGCATCGAACACCGCGCGCGCGTCCTCGACGCCGCCGGCCTTGGCGTACATGTCGAGGAGCGAGGTGGCAACGACGGCGTCGCGCGCGCACCCGGCGACCTCCGCCTGGGCGTGCACCTGCCTGCCGAGCCCCGCGTCCGCGAGGCGCGCGCACGCGCAGGCGGCCGTCGAGAAGGTGACCGCGTTAGGCCGCACGCCGCTGGACCCCATGGCGCGGAGGAGGGACATGGCGTCACGGGGCCGGGCGGCGGCGGCGTACCCGGACATGAGCGTCGTCCAGGAGACGACGTCACGGTCCCGCATTCCGTCGAACAGGTCTCGGGCGCAGCACATCGCGCCGCAGCGGCAGTAGGCAGCGAGGAGATGGTTGGAGGAGGCGAGGGGGGACGCGAAGCCGGCCTTGACGAGCTTGGCGTGCGTGGCGGCGACGGACGCGAGGTCGGAAGCGCCGCGCAGGAGGTGGATCAGCACCGGCTTGAGCGCGGCTGCTGGGGACGAGGGCGATGCCATGGAGAGCTGGGGACGTGTTGTCATGGCCGCAGGGGCCGACCCAGCACTAGAGCCGGGTGGGGCCCTCGGCCCTCAGGTGCCCACGCCGACGTGCCGTGCGAAGGAGAGAAGCGTCCACGGCGGCGCGCCCAAGCGGAGGTCGCCGGGTGCGCGCGCGACGCCGTCGTCATCATCTGTTTTAGTCATTGGGCCGAGTAAAACTGCTGGCCCAAAATAACTGGGCCGGGCCTGTTTGGTACGCTGGCGCAGTGGCGCTGGATGGCCCTGCCATGCGGCCATGCCCGACGCCACCTTTTTTCTATTTCTCATTGTTTTTTTTTAAAAAATCTCGACAGGTTGGTCTTTCTTTTTCTTTTGATTTGATAATGTATGTTGGACTTTTATTAGGGAAAACATATTGCGATTTATTTTTGTTATTGTTTATGTATTTCAGCTGGATCTGCCACCTCAGCTTAACTTAACCTTGAATTTGCCTACGATTAGAGATGGCAATAGGACCCTGATCCTTATTCCCCACGGGTAATTCTCCGGTTAGGAAACGGGAATGCATTCAACTTAGGGCCTATTTGGTACAGTTCAGCTTCACCAGTGAAACTTTTTTTTGAGAAAAACAACTTCACAGGTAGCTTTTTATCAGAAGTGAGCTGTTTTGAAAAAAGTGTTTGGCAAAATAACTTCACCAATAGCTCATGAGGGAGAGAGCTAGGATAAGCTACTATTTTCAGCTTCATCCCTAACTCATGTCTTTGTGAAAGAAAGAAAAAAATAGCTTCACCCATAAAGCTGGAAATGAATGTTTGACAAAAAAAAACAGCTCACAACAGCTCATTAAGCTATTGTAAACTATGCCAAACAGACCCTTAATCTTCACGGGGATTGAAACAAGAAAAAGTTAGTTCCCGTCGGGTTCTCGGAAATGGGGGATGGGGTGTACCCCGTGTACCCGCCTCACAAACTCGCTCTTATTCTAAACTAGGCTCTTGACCTACTAAAATTCTACTAAATACTCAACACATAACCTTGTATAAATAGCAAACTAAACTCTAAATTAAACATCTCTTATATGAAATTTTGTTTATTTAATTTATATTGATTTGATACTATGAATTTGTTTTTCTCACTAAATATAGTATTTTGTAATGGGAACGGATTCCCCGTGAAGAAAAATTCTCTGTGCGAGGACGAGGATGGGATGAAAATCTGCCCCCGCTTGTGTTCACTGGGATGGGGACGGGAACGGGAACAAGAGCGCCCCCCCACCACACACACACACACAATGAGAAATTCCCCATTGACATCCCTACCTCCATCCCGACTGACCTCACGTCTCCCATTTGGAGGAGAAAAGCAAATACGGTTGGCTTTATCAGCCACACAACGCCGATTGGACAAAAGATAGCGAGCCAAGCCACACAGACACAGGCATCACATGAACAAGGACAGGCTACGTATTTATTCTCTCCATTTGTATACAAGTTCAAGCATGAACACATATCCATACATCTCACTCGCTGGCTACGTATTCTCTCTCTATTTATATACAAGTTCAAGCATGAACCATTCCACACATATCCATACATCCCACTCGCTTTGTGGTGTGCAAATTCACGCAAACTTGCACCACAAATCTCAAACACAACAGCAACCAGTGTCACACTGCCACTTGAACACATACCATCCACGAAAAGCAGTCGGAAAAGAACATGCGAAAAGAAGAGCTGAAAATGACTCGTCACAAATTCAGAATTCACATGAACTGGAAAAGAGAGGCAACTCCTACACCTACATATATAAGCAAAGATCAAAGGCTACACTGCTACAGATCTGAACAAAAGTAACAAACCCAAAGGGCATCACATGAAGCAATCAATGGTTGCACATGAAAAAGTTACAGCCAGCAATGGCCCCGTCTCCCTCTTCACAAAGCAACAACCCATGCTCTGCAAGTACAGAAACATGTTCCTGCCTTTGATGCATTTAGAAAAAAACACTGGCGCCAACATGCCACGTTTTCGGTACCACCAGATGACGAACCAAACCAGCAGAATGCGCAATCAGGAATCAGTGGCACCAACATGCCATGTTCTGGGCACCAGATGAACCAAAGCAGCAGAATGTGCAGACAGAAACCATAGCTGTTCTGGCAACACTGATTACGACAGCAAATAGCCAAACTGGCAGATCAGCCAATGATACAAACCATTGCAATGCGTTCACGACGCTCAACAGATGTAACAAGACACCACTAATGGGTCTATTCTTGGAGTGACAGCAGAAAATGAGGGCGCTGTTATGGTTACAACTTGGAAACTCACATAAAGATTGCGCAAGAAATCATGAATTAACTGGGCAATGCCGATAGGTCATATCCCAGGATGAATGTACAATAGAAACGATAATGAGTCATCTGAAAACTATTACAGGACATACTAGTAGATAGTTCAATACTCTTTACCACTGGCACCACACTTGCCATCACAGCCGAACTCCAAAACACAATGTATGAGTCAGCAACTGGTTGACTATAGCAGCCACTGAACATATTAAATCCAGCAATATTGCTCAATGGAACCCCAGCAATCTCAAACACAGTAGCTTACATGGCAAGGCCTCGACAAAAGAACAGTCCCAATAAAGTAGAAAGACAATTAATCCAGGGCTTAGAAGCACTTCCGGTGAACAATTGCTGGGCCTGACTCATCATACTCACCCTTTGAGATCCACATCTGCCAATATAAACATCAAATCATCCTGTTAGTATACTGACAAAAAAAATGCCTAGCACAACATATAAAATTTTGATATTTGAGCAACAGAGGAGTGTAATATTGACCTGTTGGAAGGTGCTAAGGGAGGCAAGGATGGACCCTCCAATCCAGACACTGTATTTCCTCTCAGGCGGCGCCACAACCTTGATCTTCATACTGCTTGGTGCAAGGGCAGTGATCTCCTTGCTCATGCGGTCAGCAATACCAGGGAACATGGTTGAGCCACCACTGAGCACAATGTTACCATAGAGGTCCTTCCTAATATCCACATCGCACTTCATGATGGAGTTGTAGGTGGTCTCGTGGATTCCAGGCGATTCCATACCAATGAACGAAGGCTGGAAGAGGACCTCAGGGCATCTGAACCTCTCTGCCCCGATGGTGATCACCTGCCCATCAGGCAACTCATAGCTCTTCTCCACAGAGGAGCTGGTATTGGCAGTCTCCAGCTCCTGCTCATAGTCAAGTGCCACATAGGCGAGCTTCTCCTTGATGTCCCTTACGATTTCCCGTTCAGCAGTGGTGGTGAAGGAGTAACCCCTCTCAGTGAGAATCTTCATCAGGCTGTCTGTGAGATCGCGCCCAGCGAGGTCAAGACGAAGAATGGCATGCGGAAGCGCGTACCCTTCGTAGATTGGCACGGTATGGCTCACACCATCACCAGAGTCCAACACGATACCTGCAGGAACAACAAGGTCAGTCCAGCTAGGATGGAAGAACCTTACATTGCAAAATGCACATTCAGAAAACAGACAATCCAGTTCAGTTATTCACCTGTCGTGCGTCCACTGGCATAGAGGGAAAGCACAGCCTGGATGGCGACATACATGGCGGGCACGTTGAAGGTCTCAAACATGATCTGGGTCATCTTCTCCCTGTTCGCCTTGGGGTTCAGCGGCGCCTCGGTGAGCAGCACGGGGTGCTCCTCGGGGGCAACACGGAGCTCGTTGTAGAAGGTGTGGTGCCAAATCTTCTCCATATCGTCCCAGTTGCTGACGATGCCGTGCTCGATCGGGTACTTGAGGGTGAGGATACCCCTCTTGGACTGGGCCTCGTCGCCAACATAGGCGTCCTTCTGCCCCATCCCCACCATCACCCCCGTGTGGCGCGGACGCCCGACGATACTCGGGAAGACAGCCCTCGGGGCGTCATCACCGGCGAAACCGGCCTGCACAGAACACAAGCAACACTCCCAGGGTCAGTGCCGTGAATGGCCCGCAACAGATTTGTATGAACCGGTGAGACGGAGCAGCACGAACCTTGACCATGCCGGTGCCATTGTCGCAGACAAGGGGCTGGATGTCCTCGCCGTCAGCCATCTGGTCAGTGATTCTGTCACGGATTCAAGCATAAGAAGGCTACTCCACTACTAATAATCACTAAAACAGAATCTGTGTGTCCAGCAGATTCCGCAGGAAATTCCCTAATCCTGCTGCAGTTTGCTGTCGCACAACCTTTCCGTTTCCCCATAAACATTTTTTTTTACAAATCCTAACACAAATTAAGTTCTGGACATCAACAGCTCCCAGCTACTACTTCCGCCCGCGCAGCGAATGAATCCGCGACGAACTAGACGGATCGGAGCGCGCGTACCAGCAACATGGATTTATTTGGTCGGGTTCGAGCGCTCACCCACGGCGAAGGGTGAGATCCACCGCGGAACAGCACGAAAGGAAAAAAAAAAAAACAAGCAGAGGAAGGCAGGGCTTCCTTACCAGCAGCAAGGGGAGGCGCCAACCGATCCGCGGGACGGGGCTGCCGGCACAGGGCGGCGGGGTGGGGTCGCAGCGGCGGGAGGCAGGTCGGCTGGACCAGGATGGCGGCGTGCTCGCCGCCCAGGACTGGGGTGGTGGAGTTTTATACGAGGGAGCCGGGGGAAGGGAAGGGAGGGATGCGTGGTCCGTGAGACCGTGACCCCACGGGGATATACGGTTCCAAACACGAGGAGTACATTTTAGTTTTTTTTTCTCCCTCCAAACCGGTTTCAAATATTTTTTTCTCGATGGTGAACTCGTACAAAGCTGTTTAGATAGCGGTGAGAAGCCAATATCGCAGACGAACACCCTAACTACTGGATACACCCGTCGTTATTACATACTCCCTCAGTCCCGTTGTACAGTGCATTATAGGAATTTTAGGATAAATCATCGACATGATTGATGGTGATTGGTTGATAAATAAAAAATATTTATTGTAAAATTAATTTTTATTCTTTAGAATGCATTATATTTAAAGATAAAATTTAAATGCTAGAAT